CTTGGATTATTTGTACTGTCTCTTTTCCCTTAGGTGTTTTTTTGGGGGGTCGGGCGAAGAAGTGGGTGGGAAGGAGCTGTTTCTTATTTTGTTTTTCTTGCTCTGCTGTCTAGGTAAAGCTCCTTTTGAAAATGCCAGCCTGTATGAGAGCTGCTATGGAGAAATGAGGAAGGGGTTCTCATCATTGATCTGTATAGTCCCAGTGTCCAAGTATGGCAGGTGCAGTGAGAATCAAGATGACAAGTTAGCAGTAACCGGAAGGGGCCCCTTCTGCAGCTGTTCGCCCCTGCCATGACTGTTGGACTCGACTGCTCTGCTTGTCTCTCACGCTTTATGTGGGCCGTGTTTTGGGGATTTTTCCCCTTGTGGGGGCTGATAGTACAACTAGGGAGCTACAGGAGCAATACTAGAGAACTGTGACAAAAGCCTAACATTAGGTTTTGTCACAGTTTGCTTGTTTCCTCCTTAACAGGACAAACAGGCTGTATTACTTTTCTATGCAGGTATGAAAGCTTCTGAACTCTTTCACTACACTTGCTTAAGACCAGAACCCAAAGCTCCCTGATTATATTTGCCTGTTCTCGGTGTTCCAGGTTCCATGACTTGGCCCCTGCACTTTGAAGGCATCACCTTTACTGTTCAGTCACTACCATCTGGTCATCTCCCAGTACCCCATTGGTTTGCTCTCTTTGCTGTAATTTACCACCTCCGTGGTTCTAGAAAAATATGATCGTCAGCCATCTGGGTGAAAATCCAGTGAGAGAGTGGACACAGAAAGGATGGGGGAAAATGATTTAGTTCACTCTGATCCCTCATCTTCCACTGGGACTCAAATATTCTCCTATCTTATGGAAGAGAAAGAGAGAGAGAAAGGAAGAAAGCCAGTCGGTCTGGAGTTGCCAAGGTATTTTTTTATTCCTCAATAACCTCATTGCTGCCTCCTAGTGAAAGTTTTAGAATTGAAAAAAGACCACTTACCGGGGAGGACTAACGGGGAAAAAGAAGAAACAATTTACACAGCCCCCCAAACTTTTTCTGAGAGAGTGTCTGTCCCTCAGTTTCTGATTAGATATATTTGTGACCACAAGTGTTACTGTGGCTACCAGGCAAATCCAGAGGCCACACAGACTCTACTGATCAAGGTACACTGGTCTCTGGTGCTCACAATCAGCAGCTGACAATAGAAAGCCCATCTAACTTAAACTTCTCTTTCAGTTTATTTTTCCTTCGCTATTCACTCACGCAGACTGTGCTCTTTCCTATATCTTGGTATTTTCCATCTTTAGGTCAAAAATGCACAAGAACAAAAATACAACATTCTATCAATTCAAACTTAAGATCTGTGGAAATTAAAACTGAATTTACATTTTGGCACATAAGAAAGAGAACGGCACAAAAACTTACTTTGTGAAAAGCTTAACCAGATTCAGGCAAGAGGTGTGCAGGTTGCTTGATAACAGCAGAGCCACGCTGCCTTCGTTTCACCCACGGCTTACCGTGAGGGCCTCGCCTTGGCTGGGAAGGGTGTGGGCCAAGAATATTGATCCCCTAAAAACCGAAATTGAAAACCACGTCTCTCCTATTTTGAAATGTATGAAATTTTATTTGGTGAATAGACAAACATACAAATGGCAATATTCTTTTTAGGTGTGGAAAGCACCTTTGTTTTCCACAGTTCAACAATCTTGGACTTAAGAACTTTCAAATTTGGTTCATTTAATATCACTAAGCAGGCAATATTGCACAAGTTACAAAACTATATCCAAGGAAGCTTATGTATTTTATTTTTTATAAGATATTGCACATATAAGCACACATTTCAATCACAAACACAAACATTTCTTTCTATGGTGATAATTTATTGCAATCGATTTTTAAATTTAAATTTGAAGAGTATATTCTAATTTAACTCACCAATATGAAATATCTTTTCTCAATCAGTATCCTTTTGTATATGTCAAGATAATTTTCATGATTAGACTGAACTTTATTCCCAATGTTTAGTGAATAACAGTTTTTCATACCTTGCGTCCCTCTTACATATGTTCTTTGTATGACAGTGTCTAACATTTTTGTCTCAAATCTATTACACAAGTAGTAGGTTAAAAGCTCAAGGATGATAATTTTGTAGTTTATCATCACAAAACAGTATATTTAATATTCTAGTCTATGTAATTATACCTGCCAGTGTTTTAAAGTTGCTCCACCCTGAGTCTGTGAATGACAGTGTCTTATAGAGCCTGTAAAGGAACATGGTTCTAGAGAAATGAGTCCAATTGTTTTAGCAATACAAGAGCATAACTGATACAAAGTAAACATTTGTAAATATGACATTTTAAGAAAAATAGACTCCCATACATTTCACTGCTGATTCACATTTCTATATGTCACAGCAACTAAAATTAAAGCAATAATCACTATTCTTTATTAAAATGAGCAATAAAACAAGCCTAACTTTTAAATAAATCTGATGGCCTAAGTTCATAGTTAAGTTCATAGTTAAAATCAATGGCGTTGTATCTGTGTGTCTGTGTATGAGCAGAACATAAATTCCAGGGAAGACTTAAAAAGTTAACCACTTATAGAACTTCCTACTTGCACACACCACATGGCTCGTCACATCCAAACTGCCAAAGAAAGAAGGCAGGCGAGTTCTCCCTGAAGGGAAGGCCAGCTTGAGAATAAAACCGCCAGACTGATCACGATGTGAGTGTGCTGCAGCATACCAAGAAATGAGAAAAATATGCAAACAAAATTATGCTGTTTGATTTTTGCATCATGTCAATTATAAAGAAAAAACTGTTCTTACTTACTAAAGACAACTGTGCTTAACAGCTTAAAAATATTTCAGTAGAGACTGATTGGTATGTTTTACTTTTTTCTTTCAGAGAAACGTTTTATACTTCTTACTGACTTTGAACACCTTCACCCTATCTCTGAATTTAAGTGAGATACTGTAAGTTAACTGTACCTGAAAGAGATCAGCTTATAGATGGCTCTGACGACCAGAGATAGAAACAAAACAAAACAAAACACCCAGAATTTTTAAAGAGCTGAAAAGTCAGCCAAAGATGCCTACTTTCAGCCTCAGCTAGCTTTTTTTCGAAAGGGTTTCGGAGAGCGCGCTCATTCCCTCCTCAGTTATTTTTCACTCCACTACCTCTGACTAGGGGCATCACCAGTGCAAGAAAATGCAGGAAGCATCTGCTGCGAGTAACATCTTGACCTCCAAGGAAAAGAACACTTGCTTGCTGGGAAAAGTCTCCAACATTTTCTAGGGTGCGTCCCCTCTTCCTCCGATGTTCGCGAGACTCTCCTCCTCGCGCGTGCCTCCTTCCTCCGAGCGGAGGATCCCAGAGCCGTGCGCGACCAGCGCTGCTCGGGCCGGCCAGGGTAGCAAGGATGACACCAAGGGTTGCCAACGCCAAACAGTGCGCAGACTCCACGGCGCGCTCCGAGATCTCCACTCGCCTAAACCTGCTCTCAAGTGAAAGAGGTGGGAGGAGGAGTATGGGGGGGTGGGGTGAAGGGGATCCTGTTTAATTCGAGGTCCTGGGGGTGTGGGAGCAGGAGGAGGCTCCGCTGGTCCCTCCTCCCTCCCGGAGTCCTGGGCTCCACCTCCTCCTCAAGTCCCCAGATAAACACACACTCAGCCGCGGCTGGACATGCACACCCAGCACCGGCCCCGGGCGCGTGCACACGCAGGTAGCAACATTCACCTGAGCCCGTGCACAGGGCTCCTGCCGCCTCTGGAGCGGCGGAGTGGCGGCCTGGGCCGGGAAGGGGTCCATCACGCCGCGGGAGCGGCCCCAGAGCGGACCTGCGAACTGAGGTGATGGCGCGTTTTCCTTAAATCCCTTCCTCCAGTACCTCTGCCTCCGCGCCTGCTCGGCTCAGGCCGCAGAACCGACGAGAGAAGGGCCCGTGCGCGGCGCACAGGCGGGCAGACGCTGCGAGCAGAGCGCGACCGCAGGGGCTCGGCGGCGCCGGCGCAGGAAACTTGCGCGAAGTTAGTTGCAAGTGCCGGGCGGCGGCCGAGAGGAGCGAGGAGTGGACGCGGCCGGTGCCCAGCTAGACGCCCCGCGCTGGGGCAGCGCCGCCCTCCACGCCCGGCGCGCTCCGGGAGCCCGAGTCGGCCGGCGCGCCTGGAGGTGCTCGGAGCGAGAGGAGCCAGCATGGCCCGGGGGAAGGCGAGACGCGGCGCCTCGGCGAGCCGGGAGGATTTCCTCTGAGGCCCGGCGACCCCAAGCTTGCTCAAACCTCATTCACCCTCCGTCCCTGCCCGGCAGCCGGAGAGGAAGACCCGCGAGGCAGGTGCTGGTGGCGCGGACAGCTCCCCCCCAAAAACCCCAGCCGATTGCGGGGGGGAGGGGAGGTTCCATCAGTGCGCCCTGCCCCTAACCAGGAAGATCGGCTGGCGCTGCTGTATTTGTATTTATATCCATTGCTGTGCTCTGCGTTCCGGTAGTGCTCCCGGACCCTCCTGCGCCTCCCCCTCCTCTTCCTCCTCGGGGGCCACCTCCGCTCCTCCTCTCACCCCCATCTGCTACTGTCAAATGAGAAAGTCACCGAGGAGAACCCAAACACTCCCGCCGCCGAGAGCCCCCTTTGGCACTTGGCAGCACGCGGCGGCGGGCTCCTCGACTCAACTTGGTGGAGCCTCCGCGACGCAACTTTCCGGGCTGCTGTGCATTTAAGAGAGAAAAGACCCGGGAGGGGGAGAGCTCTGCCCGGCAGCGGCTACCTGCCGGGAGTTCGCGAGCAAACGCAACTGGAGCGGAAGGACAAAAAGAAAGCAAAGGGCATACTGTCACCGTGGGGTGGGGGCACCGCCGAGAAGTTACAGGTCCGGGGAGAGGATCTTCCCGAGCGCTTGGCCAGAGACCAGGGCGGCAGGGAGCGCGGCGCGGCCCTGGCCTGGTCCCCCAGCCCCCTCCTCCCGGGCGGGAGCGACGCCGGGGTGCAAAGTGGGGCGCGGCGAGCGCAGGCGGGCCGAACGGGTCCCCGCGGACAGCCAACATTGATTTCCTCCGGGCCGAGGGCGACGGCCCGGGCGGCGGCGGCGGGCTGCAGCCGCGGCACGGCGAGAGCATGTCCAAGCCGGTCGACCACGTCAAGCGGCCCATGAATGCCTTCATGGTGTGGTCGCGGGCTCAGCGGCGCAAGATGGCCCAGGAGAACCCCAAGATGCACAACTCGGAGATCAGCAAGCGCCTGGGCGCCGAGTGGAAGCTGCTCACCGAGTCGGAGAAGCGGCCGTTCATCGACGAGGCGAAGCGCCTGCGCGCCATGCACATGAAGGAGCACCCCGACTACAAGTACCGGCCGCGGCGCAAGCCCAAGACGCTGCTCAAGAAGGACAAGTTCGCCTTCCCGGTGCCCTACGGCCTGGGCGGCGTGGCTGACGCCGAGCACCCGGCGCTCAAGGCGGGCGCCGGGCTGCACGCGGGCGCGGGAGGCGGCCTGGTGCCCGAGTCTCTGCTCGCCAACCCCGAGAAGGCGGCCGCCGCCGCTGCC